TTCGACATGGGTTTGCTGCCACTGTCCTCCTTCGCCTTCCTTCCCTCTTCTACAGGCTTGAGGTTCAACAGTGGAGTCACTTCAGCATTGCCATAACCAGCAAACGTGATTGCGGCGGTGCCATTTTCTTCGTCTATCTCCTCAATCTCTGCTTCGTAACACCTGTAAAGATATCATGGCTGTAAGCAGGTGAGTAAAGATTTAATACTCAGCCTACAAGACTTACACTGTAGTCACTCAATTATTACATGTATCTAAAATGAAACTGTATACATGGTTCTTCTGGCAAAAATAATACAACAGTGGTTCAAGTTAGGAACCTATTTAAAAAAAAAAAAAAAAACCCTAGTCAAAATACTGCCAAAAAAGTAGTATGCTATCTATTCAATGTGCTTTAATCTCTTTGAGAAATGGTACTTGTCACAGAATTTTAGTGTATGCACTTTATAAAAAAAAAAATTTACTTGATTTTTAACATGAAAAACATTTACTATAGAAAACACAATGGTATCTTGGTTCATGAATGCTTTTGTTTATGAACAATTTGGTTCCGCCAACAAAAGCATTAGGCAAAATTCTGTTTTTGTTTGCAAACTACATCAGGTGAAAACAAAACTGCAGCATCTTTCCTGTGTAGACACACACATGGTCACCCATTCCAGAATCGTGTAACAAATTAAGTTTGTGACCCGAGGTACCACTGTACATGCATTTACCCCCCACTCTGGGGTCTAAGTCATTTTTCTCCACAAGTCTTAAATGTAAAACTAAAACTAACCTCTATTAATAGTAGCCACCCAAGAATTTAAACTGGCTGTATGAATTATATACCTATAAAGAAAGATTAAAACAGGGTAGTTCAAACTGAATAAAAACATCTTACCATTGTATTTCATTATTTTATATTATAGTTAGGTTTTTTGTACACTTACTGTCCATCTTCACTCCAGACTGCCATACACTTGTCTCCTACTTTCCATGAATGAGTGGGCTGACTAGAAGCAAAACTGTCTGAACTTGCAAG